TTTTAACTTTGAATATCTGGCCATATAAATTATTTGAAAAATTGTTTCTTGAAAACTTTATTTTAAAATGATTTCAAGTTTACAGTAAAGGTTTAAGAATAGTACAAAGAAATCCCGTATGCTTTAAACCCAGCTTCACCAACTGTTAACATTCTGCCTCATTTGCTTAATCATTCTCCCCCCACCCCCAATCATTTGAGAGTAACCTATAGACATACTCCTTTACCCCAGATACTTCACTGTGTGTGTTTTAAGAACAGGGATCATATAAATCACGGCACAGTTATCAAAATCAGGAAAATTCTAACATTGGTACAGTGTTAGATATACCAATGTTAATGTTAAATGACGTATAGTAAACCTCATTTAAATCTGGACACATGTCCCATTAATGTCCTTAATAGCAAAGCAGTTTGTTGTTCAGGATCCAGCCTAGGACCATGCACCGCATTTAGTTGGAAAGTCTTTTCAGTCTTCTTAATCTGAGTCTTTCATTAGTGACATTTTTGAAAGGTTCAGATCAACTTTTTTTTTTTTTTTAATAGAAAGCCTCTCAGTCTGATTGTGTGTGATGTTTTCTTCTGACTCAGTCGAGGGCATGCATTGTTTAATAGGAGCACTGTGATGCTGTGTCCTCAGCGGGTAGGATCAGGAGACAGGCGATGTTAGTTCATTTCATCGTTTTGTGCCACTTATTCAGGTGGCAAAAGAACTACAACAGGATGTTTTGAGGGTTTGTTACATCTCTTTAATATTTACATAATTATAAATTTAAATCATTTACTTTTTTTTTTTGCATTTCATCTGGCATTTAATTACGTGTCTGTTTTTTTGTTTGTTTTTTAATTTTTACAGTGTTGTCTTGGTTTCCGAGGTACAGCAAGGAGAATCAGCCATAATGATGCACATATCCCCTCCCTCTGAGCCTCCTCCCATCCCGCCCCTCTGGGTCATCACAGCGCCGGGATGGGCTCCTAGTGTTACTCAGCAGCTTCTCACATCTACCCATTTTATACGTGATAGCCTATATGTGTTGATACTACTTTCTCCATTCAGGAAAGCAAAGATCATATACTTTTAATAGTGGCCGTGTCTAGCAGCTGGCTTGTGGGATTCCTGAAGACGTGATGTGCCCTCACAGGCCTGTACAGGCCAGCTCCAGCACACGTTCCACGTCAGTTATCTTGCTGCTGAAGGGGCCCACCTTTCGGAACCTTGTGACTGACACTGTCTTGCTGTCTTTGAGATCAGCGCCGTCCTTTCTTTTAGCGTTCCTCCCACAGGAACCCAGCACCTTGCCTGCTTCCAGGGCCTTGTCTGTCCCCACGCCGAGGGTCGCTCCTTCCCATGCCTCAGATGCTCTTCTCTGCCCCATCCAGTTTGTCCCCGTCACGGTACTGTCCCCAGTTAAAGGCAGTTACCGCCTCCAGTTAAAGGCAGGTCCCAGACACGACTGGTATCTTGGGGCAAGGAGAGACTCTCAGCAAGATGGTAGGCCTAATGCAGAGAGAGAATCCTTGATCTAGAAAAGAAGATTTATTCTTAGGACTCCAGGATAGAAATCTAAGTGGAAAATAAATTTTTTTTCCTGATTTCCTTCCCCTGAGCAGCAAGATCCATCACCAGGTTATCTCTTGGGGAAGGTGTGATCAAAACGACCACCTCAACTGAGCTTCTTACTTAGACCTGTTTTCCATTTTTATTTTTTAATCGCCTATTCTAAGGCCATCTCGAATAGTTCTAAGTGTCTGGTTACTACTGCAGTAAAACAGGAGTCATGTGGCTGAAATGCGGAGTCCAAATGTTTATTGTTTGCTCCTAGCAACTTTATCAGAGTGCTGAGAATATTCCTTCATGGAGAACAGATGCTTTAATTCCAGATGCCTTCAGAACCTAAACTTCAAGTGAGTTTGAGGTGAATTAGGCTTCTGTGTTCACTTCTATTTAATATTGTGGGTAGCTGACTCAGTGTTTAAAAAAAAAATAGAGCTATGGAAGCAATTTAAAACTTACTTTTGTCTTGGGAATGAAAAAAGAGGTTGATCCTGAAAGCTTTGTTAAAAGGAATTTCAACTGCTTATTAGCCATCCCTTCTGGCCACAGTTAAGAGAAGGCCCCAGGTGTCGCTAGTGTCTTGGGCACAGAAAGTTGCATGGCAAGATGTTGGGGCTTTTGTGGAGAGGACCTTTTTGATTTTGAAAAAAGATGTATTCCTTGAATTTCAGGTTAGATATCTAAGTGAAAAACATACTTTTTTCCCCCTGCAAAAGTCCACATTGTAAATAGTTGAGGCTTGCAGACTCTGTGATCTCTTTTGCAATAACTCAGCTTTTCAGTGGGCTTCCTTGCTAGCTCAGGCAGTAAAAAAGCTGCCTGCTAATGCAGGAGATGCAGGTAGGAGACTCAGGTTCGATCCTTGGGTCATGAAGATTCCCTGGAGTAGGAAATGACAACCCACTCCAGTATTCTTGCCTGGGAATCCCAGAGACAGGAGCTTGGCGGGCTACAGTCCACAGAGTTGCAAAGAGTCAGATACAACTTAAGTGACAGAGCAAAGTCAACTCTTTGATGGCCCATTGTATTGCGAAAGTAGCCACAGACACTGTAAACAAATGACATGACTGTGTTTCAATAAAATTTTATTTATGGATACCGAAGTCTGAATGTCATAGCATTTTCCCGTGTCAATGTGCGTGAGCCACGCACNTCCTGTGGACTGAGGAGCCTGATGGGCTGTAGTCCATGGGGTCACAAAGAGTTGGATGCAACTGAAGCAACTTGGCACTCACGCGCGCGCGTGTGTGTACACACACACACATAAATATATATACATACACACACACACATTTATTTATTCTTTTCAACCACTTAAAAATGTAAAGCCTTTCCCAGCTTGTGAGCCACACACAAACGAGAGTGCCGGACTTGACCCGTGGCTCATACTTTGCCAGCCTGTGCTCTAAAAAAGGAAACTTTAGAACTTTGAGTAATTTTTTTTTCAGGTTATAGTGATATTTCAGTACCTTGAAAAATTGATTCTTCTCTGTATGCTGCAGACATTTTTCTGGTTGTAGTTTATTGTGCCAAAGGATAGTAAACATTTTACCAGCTTAAACTTTTCAAAAACATTTCCAAAATAGGGACTTACAAGTTCTAAAGTTTAAATAGTGTCTGAAGTCAGTGGTAATGCTGTTGTACTGACTGTGCTATTCCTGTGTTAGGGTGCTTGGGAACTTTCCAGTTCATCAGTCTTGGTAGGTTACAGCTTATTTGTAGTTCATTCTGACTTCTTACAGCAGACTGGAACCCATGTTGGACACAGGGCACTGCATAGAACTCTGGGAAAAAATTAGAGAGAGGCACTGGGAACTACTTGGAATTCAGAGCATTCGTATTACTAGCCTTGATCCCAAGTTTGATTTTCAGATGTTTGGTTTTCATTAAGGACTGAAACACTACCTGCTTCTCTGTTCTGTTGCTGGCCATTAAGTTGTGGCCACAGAGTGGCATGGTTCTTTAATTGGCTTTATTACTGCTAATGTAGAAAGGGAAAAAATGCTGTAAGTAATGAGAATTCTCCCCTATTTAATGGTAAAATGGCCTTTCTCTTAATTAGATTTTCCATAGCACATCATTAAAGATGTACACAACCTAAGCCTCAGTGCTTTAAAGTCCTTTGTTTATGGTTACCACATAAATTGTATAATGTTTTGGAGAATGGTAATTAGGACTCTGTTTCATAGAATAAATTTAATTTAGCCACTGATCTCAGTTAAAAAAAGATTAATCTATAAAAATTGCTGGAAGAGGGAATTCTCTGGTGGTCCAGTGGTTTGGGACTCAGCTTCCACTGCAGAGGGTGTGCGTTCAGTTCCTGGTTGGGAAACTTAAGATCCCGCATGTTGTGTGGTGTAGCCAAAAAAAAGTTGTTAGAAGATGATTGAAAATGATAGTTGCAGCCCCGTGAACTGCCCACCAGGCTCCTCTGTCCATGGGATTCTCCAGGCAAGAATACTGGAGTGGGTAGTTCTTCCCTTCTCCAGGGGATCTTCCCGACCCAGGGATCAACCCCAATTCTCCTGCATTGCAGGCAAATTCTTTACCAGGAAGAAGATAATCAGCAAGTGAAGGATGAAGATGTCTTAACTTATAAATAGTTGCAGAGTCACAGGCAGAGTTACTAGGATTAGATTTATGGCTTGATGGAGGAGTGGGATAAAGAAGAACAGCAATTCCAGATGGTCTGGAAACACACATTGTTGGAAAAGCAACCCTCCCATCCTCACAGGTTGAGAGTCTTATCCTAGGCTGAGTGGTGAATGTGTTTCAAGAGTTCTCACATGTTAGCTGTAAGAAGAGAAGGTATTATCTCCATTTATACAGTCAAGAAAACTGAGATTTAGAGGATTTAAGTAAAATCTTTTTAGATGGAGTTTAAACCCAGATTGGTCTTGAGCCCAAGTCCTTTGCACTCTACTGCTTGCAGGCCAGCTCTTTAGAGGCACTCCGTATTTACTGGAGAACGGGTGGACTTGGCAGTGACTCGTGGGATGTAGAGTTTAGAGAGTTATTGCGGCAAACAGAACACAGAAGTTAAAGGGCATTCGAAGTATAAGGATGTAGCTGTTTAATATACTTCCTCCATCCTCTCTGCCTTATTTTTAGATTTTCCTGGAATTTTTACAGAACTTTTTAAGGGAGCCGTTTTATGTTCTTTTAAAAAATTTTCCAAGTAAATATCCCAATATCTTGCTGGTTTACTTGTTTTTCTCATCACCTCCACTAAAATGTAAGCTGAAGAAGACAGATTGTTTCATATCCTCAATGCCTAGACCACTTCCCAGCACATTAAGGGCTCAGTCAGTATTTGTATAAACTTGCTAGAATGGGTGCAGTTTGTGTGATACATTGATTTCCCTTTCAGTTTGATGTTTTGTAAAAAATCAGCTCCCCAGGAGAACCTTACTAATGCAAACCTGCTCTCTCTCCGCCTTTCCTAGGGCGACTGTGTTGTTACTGTACTGCTCGCGGAAGAGGACAAAGTTGAAGATGATGTAGTTTTTTACTTGGTGTTTTCGGGTTCCACCCTCCACCACTGTACAAGTACTCGGAAGGTCAGTTCTAATACGCTGGAGACCATTGCTCCTGGTAAGTATTTGAACACAATCTTCACCCGCCTTTATTTATTCTGTGTTCTAGCATAGAGTGATAGGAAGAACAAATCAGGGTGATGAAACTGCAGTTGCATTTTTGTTTTAAATGTACTTCATTTTGTTTATTTCTTGCTTGTTGCACAAAATCTGAGCCTGACTAAAAATAATTGAAATAGAATGGTGTCATAAATTAGAAGACAGTCGTTAAGATCAACAAAAATTTTAATTTATTGGAATGTTGAGGCAAAGTAAAATACATTTAAAAGATAAAAATTCATGCGGTCACTGTGTGTGACTACAGTTTTGATTCTGACTTTCATTGTGGCAAAAGCAAAGGTAAAAAATGCGATTGCTAATACATTCCTTCGTATCTGTGAGGGGAAGAGTGTAAAAACCAAAGTTCCCCCAAATGAACAGATTATCGTTCATGGTGAAATGAATACTTAATCACTGTTGCATTTATCCATTTAATGGAATTAAAAGGAAACTGTGTACTTGTTAAAAATCCTTTGCAAAGTCATTATATCATTGCTAATTCCACCAGAAACGGCTTTTGACCGATTCCAGGCATCTAAAGGTATACTGATTTGTGTTTGGAAATGAACTTATTCTGTCTTTCCTCAACCTTGCTTCAAAGTTAATAATCGGTTAAATTTCATCTGAGTACAAAAGAGGGGACATTTAGGGGGAACCCATAAAAAGTGTTGACAATTGAACCATTTGCTTTCAGAGAACAAAATGGATTCCGTTCTTCCTGGAACTTTTCTTGTCTTCAGTGTTTTTATGTAACATTGATTCCACTTTTGTTGAAATAGATCATGTTAAAAAACCGCCAGTTTTTGGTTGCTGCTATGCCGTTTTACATAAACTGACTTCACTTCTGATGCCTGCCAGGTCCCAGAAGTTATACCATGCTCACAAGCTGAGATTCTGACAGTTAAAAGCGGTATTTATCCTCCTCCTTGACAAAAGTGACTTTGAAAATACAGAATTTAAAGGTTTTGGCAATTCCGATGTATATTCTCCCTCAAACTTTTAGGGTTGGGAGAGTGAGGAAGTTCAGGAGAGGCACTGATTGTTTTTTCTTTCCCCTAAAGAGTGTTACGCATCCTCCTTTGTAACTTAGAGCCCCAGTCGTCTTGTTCCTGTGATGGATGTCATGTCAGAGGGTCTCATCTGGAGCTTGCAGTCTGCTGAGCGGGAGCTATCCAGGGTCGCCCCTGCTGGACACATCTTCTGTGTGCGTGGCAGTGAGCAACAGCCCCTCAGCTGGGTATTAGAGACTCAGTCAGTGCCTGACTGCACTCTTATTAGGAAAGCAATGAGGATAACTTTTATAAACTTACTTTTCCTCCTGATTTAGAAGTACCATATCAGTTTGTGTGTTTGTGGATGTGTAGATGTATAGATATGTGTGTGTGTATAGGTAGGTAAGATAGCAAGAAAGCCTGCAAGCAGATACCAGGAGAATGGGTTTCCCTGGTGGCTCAGACGGTAAAGAATACACCTGCAGTGCAAGAGACCCAGGTTCGATCCCTGGTTGGGAAAGATCCCCTGGAGAAGAGAATGGCAACCCACTCCAGTTTTCTTGCCTGGAGAATCCCCGTGGACAGAGGAGCCTGGTGGGCTACAGTCCATTGGGTTGCAAAGAGTCGGACACGACCGAGCGACTCACCCAGAGGAAGGACAGCTGTTAGGACGTAGCCCTGTGTCCTCGATGCCGCCCTCAGCCACAGCAGGGTCCAGCCTCTTGGGGGAGAGGGCTGTGCCTGGCGGCCCTGATACCTTCAGTGTGAAGGTACTAAGTTAGTGTGGGCTGCAAGCGGTTACTGCCTTCGGTTCACAGATCCACTGTATCGTATGACAGCCAAGCGCTCAAAGTTCTTACCAGATCCTTGTATGCTGTCCCCAGCCTACTTTTTCGACTTCAGTTTCCATTCCCCCCCTTGCCTCTGGGCTGCCACCTCTGTAATAAGTCTCAGGACCCCTTCTTTCCCAGCCCCACACATCACTGGGTGTCCTTTTGTACCAGTCGGCTCTGGGTACCCTCGTTCTGCTGGCTCCAGCCCGCCAGAATGGACATTGTCTTCTGCCCTTTCTCCCTAATTTGATCCGAATCCTCGGTACCTTCCTGACCCCTTGCTTGGAGTTTGGAATCCCAGTGCCTGGCCTTTCCTAGTTTGCCTCTCAGCAGCTTTCCTCCCCTCAAATTGTGATCTTACCTAGTGCCATCTTCTCTCAACTTGTCCCCTCTGCTCCCCGCCGGCCTGCATGTTCTGCAGCCCGCCTGATTCAGTCAGGCTGCTGCATGGGGCCCTTAATCCCAGTGGAGCTGACAAAGGGTTCCAGTCCTTGAAGACCCCGTGGTCCGAGCAGGCCGAGTGAAGAGCAAGGCGCCGCCTGAGCCTTGGGTGTCTGTGCAGGGGTCCCCGGGAGCCTCCCTCCTTGGCGGAGAGGACCCCTGTTAGCTACTGAAGCGGGAAAGACTTGAGGGGATCTCACCGCTCTGGTCATCGGCGTGTGGTTTTTCCTCTTCTCTTGTGTTTTTCAGCTGCTGTTGTCCAGACTGGCTCAGCAACTGTTGTGGAGGAGTGGTGAGACACAGGCAGATTTGGGGGTTCATAGGCTAATTTTGAATTTCTTGTTTATATTACAGAGTTAATATTTTCGTGAAGAAGTAAACGGCCTTAAATCTGCCTTGGGGGATTTCTTTGACTTGTTTCTTATTTTCCTTGAGGTCGTACTCAGATAATCACCTTCTCAGTGAGGCCTTTCCTGTCCACTTTATAAAAGTTTACCTTCTCCTTTATGTATTTTAAAAACCTGCCTCCTCTATACACCCCCTGGCCCCTTTTGACGCTTTACTTTTCTCCACTGCACTGATCAACTTCCCACTCGTTGACACGTTTGATTTATTTTCTGCTCGCCTCTGCTGGAGCGTCAGCTTCACCAGGGCGTGGGTTCGTGTCTCTCATGTTCTCTGGTGCCACTTGATGGGACCAGTTGATGGGACCAGGTTTTTACCATGTTGAAACTCATCCTGGTTCTCAGAGACTGCCCTGCACACACACAACGCCCCCCACCCCTTTCTTTTGCAAACTGTCAGAGGACTGTCTGGCTTCTTGAGTTGCTTTCTTGTCTGGGGGCAGGAGCCTGTGTTTTCTGTCCAGAGCTGCATCTGATGCTTTCTGTGTGTCCTGTTGATGGCCTCAGATTTTGTGTGGAGCGCAGCGTTAGATTACTCGCGATCCCTCGTGGCAAGTCCGCACCTGCCTGATGCGTCCTGGTTAGAGGGGAACGCGCATGGTCTGGTCTGTCCGCTGCAGCTGCTGTTGGGGCGTCCCCCCCGCACCCCGCCATGTGGGGCTCACTCCTCGGGTCCTCGTCGTCTGCCTGACCATGGAAGAACAAGAGCTTTGTGTCTGCAAACGTCAGGTTTCACCCAGATCGCTGGCTCTGATTTTTCTTGGAGTTCTCCATATGTTTCTCTGCCACTGTTGTGTAATATTTTAGTTTTCAAGAAAACGAGATGATTGATTGACCTTCCTAAGACAGCTATTCCTTGATGTTCATTCATCTGTGACCTTTTATGATTTTGATGGATAAAGAGATGAGACATTTCTTGATAGTCCCTGAAAAAAATCTCTTTGACTCCAGATATTGAGATTACAGTCCATTGCCTCCCCCCCAACACTTTTTCATATTTTCTCACTTTTTGACTTTTCTGATGATAAACTTAACAATGAATTGTATATGTATGTTTAGTTATAAAGAAATTGTAAAGCCATTTTCTTGCCTTATCATCATAGACAGGCTGTAGACATGATACAGTCCCCCCTTTTTAAAAAATGCAATTATGTTAAGAGTAGCAACATCTTGGGACAGTTAACTGGAGCCTTAGAGACTTTATCTGCCTTTAAATTGTTTGACTGTTTTAAAGTGCATGTGTAATTTTTAACATATATAGTAATTTTTAAGAAAAACATATGAAGACTTTGGAAATACTGTCCTCTCTTTTGAAAGTAAAGCTGTCTTTGTCCTAATTAACACTAGACAAAAAAAGTTTTATAGTATAAGACTACATTCAAAATACCTATGAAATTGACTAGTTTAAGAATATAATTTGCTATGAAACATATGTCTAAAGACAAAAGGTGTTGCCTTTGTAATAAATAAAAATAAAATACCTCTATTCTTTTGTCTTCATATAAAACAAATCCAACCCCAATCCCATTTTAACAAAACAGTGATTCTTCTTGCAGGGTGAGGTCAAGATGTTTTCTTTTAAAGGCTGTAGGATGAGTAAGTAATATAAAGAAATCTGAGTACCCGCTGAAGTTAATTCTGGGGGGATATGAGGTGCTGTCCTATGCTCATTTTTATTAATTAAATGTGAAGGTAGACCAAGCAAACAGGAACTGCAGGATGGAAAATGAGGCAGGGTATTCAGTGGGTGAATCCTTGTGAAAGGCTTTGGTGCAGAATCTCTCATAACATGAAATCCTAGCATCACCCCATATGTCTGTCATTTGCTTTTAGAATTCATAGCAAAGGTTCTTGTTTGACAGGAAAATAGCAAACATTCCTTGACCCAGAATTTGACTCAGCTCTTTGGTATCTTTCCTTTCTTTCTCACTTATCAGGGGAAGATACTATATAAAGCAGATTTGTTATTGAAAGGAAAGAAAAAAGTACATCTGCCATGATCAGAAGTCCTTGGGGGCTTAATTAAAAAATCTTTGCTTACAGCCGAGGTCTCAGCAGGTAGCCTGCAGTGAAAGCACCGTGTCTCTCAGTTCCTGTGAACCAAGGCTCTGTATCTGCCAGTAGACGTCCCGAGGTCTCCAAATAACACTTGAGAAGTTCTAGGCTTTTCCTGGCCCAATCAGAGATGCCCTCGCGCTCTGCCAAAGTAATAGTTACTTTTTCACTGGACGTTTTCTAAGTCTCCCTGTCCTAAGGTACTCCTCCTACAAGGCTATCTCTAGACAGACG